GGAAGTATCCTGCCTATTTTTAAAAGTCAGTTTTAGAAAACCACACATACTATTTTGTGTAATTTTTGTGTATCTTTTTGGACTTAAACTATTTATTAAGCCAGGTACTCATGGCTCACGCCTATAATTCTAGCTACCCATCTAAGGATCATGGTTCAAAGCCAGTCCCTTGAGACTCTCATCTCCAATTATCCACCAGAAAACCAGAAGTGGTGCTGAGGCTCAAAGTGGTAGAGCACTATAGCCTTGAGCACAAAAACTCAGGGACAGCACCCAGGCCCCGAGTTCAGCCTTACCTCTGACATATACATATATATATATAATCTATGTATTTATTGATATCTAATAAAGGAGAGAAGACAAATAATATTGTAATGAGGATTTCCAGATGAAGTAGAGTGCCCAATGAACTCTGAATAAAGAAGTTTTTGTTTGTCTCAAATATTCAGTTTGTTGGTATAAATATGTACCCCAATTTTTTTTGTTAGATCAATTTATAGTGAACAGGGTGATCTCCATGTTCACTCTGTGAAATAATCTAAATAAATGTGCCTTACGGGCAGGGTTTCCTCTTCTCACTTTCTTGTTAGCCTGTGGTGGAAGGATGCTAGCCCTGCCTGTTCCAGCTCAGTTCCTTCCCCTCCACAGTGGAGAACCACACAGTTGACCAAAGGGAGCCTCCTATGGCTCTAATGCCACCAGACCACATTTTATCCATGTCTTCAAGGCCATGCATGCATTGCTACACATTCATGATCCTGCTGAGACCTGCTTATGCTAAGACCTGCGCCTCTCGCCAAGTATCTGGACCTATTATCAGCTCACTTTTGCCAGGGAATACATTGATATTTCTTTTTATAACAGTACTAGAGTTTGAACTCAAGGCTTACACTTAGTAGGCAAGCACTCTACCACTTGAGCCATGACTCTAGTTCTTTTGCTTTAGTTATTTTTCAGATAGGGTCTCATGCTTTTATCAGGGTCATCTTAGATTATGATCCTCCTATCATTGCTGAGGTTACAAGTATGAACTGCCTTATCGGGCTTATTCTTTGACATAAAGTATCATAAACTTTTTACTCAGATTCTTATTCCCTACTGGCACTCCCATTTTTCCTCCTCCTCCTCCTCCTCTTCCTCCTCCTCCTCTTCTTCCTCCTCCTCCTCTTCCTCCTCCTCCTCCTCCTCTTCCTCCTCCTCCTCGTCCTTGTCTTCTTACTCTTCCTCCACCTCCTCCTCTTCCTCCAAGTCCTCCTCAATTCTCATTGTCTCCTATTCCAACGTTGTAATTGTTTTTGGAGCCATTTCTTGGCAACAGTTCATTCACCTCTGATAGAGAGTTCATCACCTCTAACAGTTCATCCACACTGCTGCAGGAATGCACACATTTACATACACAGGTGCACACACACATGTGTACATACTCACACATTTGATTCATCTTATATTGTTCAGTGCAATGCATTGAATCATCCTGAGTACTGCCTAGTTTTCTTTTCCATCTAAATAAATGGTAGTTATTGGCTTATACATTTAATTGCATCACCTCAGGTCAAATGTCTACCCTCCTATATTCAGGTGGAATTTTGCCTGGTCAAATGCACAAACAGATCTTGTGTTCTCAGGAAGATTGTCCATAGTCCTTCAAAATTATGTTTTTCTTTTCTTTTCAGTTAACAATGATAAGTTAGCTCTCTTTCTCTCTCTCTTTTTTTAAATGCAGCCTGGGGAGATAGAGGGGTGATAGGCAATACCTGAGAATGAAATGTGCTTTTTATTAGACTCACAAGTAATATGTTTAAGTGGAAACCCTGCTTCTGTCTTTCCTGAAGGGAAGCAACGTTTACTGGGTGAATAACTTTAATAAAGAAACTTGTCTCCAAACATTTAGCCCTCACCCTGTCCCAAAGTCTTCAAGATTCTTTTATTGGTATCTTCCAACAGTTTTAAGGGAACATTTCCTTTTATGAGGTCTCCAAACACCACTTCCAAGATGCTACATTATTATATTGTCAACGAGATACTTTTTCAATGACAGTTTTTCAATTTATTTCAAGGTTTAATTTCTTCTTCATATATCCTTCAATTAATGAATCTGCTTCCATCCTGATAGTGCCTTCTACTCATTCATGGTGATTAGTGCCTAGCTGTCAAATATAATTGTGTGTATGTGTGTGCGTGTGAACATGTGCTTGCATGCTGGTCCTGGGGCTTGAACTCAGGGCCTGAGTACTGTTCCTGAGGGTTTGTGCTCAAGGCTAGATAAAGTCTCACAAGCTTTCCAGCTTCCTGAGTAGCTGGGATTACAGGTGTGAGCCACTAGCACCCAGCTCAAATATAATTTTACCTTCCATGGAAAGAACAATAAATAACTGTTCGTTGCTTGCAGGGCGGTAATACATCAAGAATTACAGGCAGATCTGATACTGTGCATGTAAGGGGATATTGAACCAAATTCAGCTTTGGCAAGCAGAGACTTTATATGGAAGCATTATTATGAGAAAAGGAGGAAGACCATTGTAATAGAGAGAAGATTCTACCCTAAGGTTTTCCATCCCAGAGATCAGGTGCCTTCTGAGGAAAAGTGAACAGGTCTAGAAAGAACTTGGGGAATAGGATGTGTGGGTGATGGAGGATGCTGTGATCCTCCAGAGAGAGGAGGGTAGCATGTTTTCAGGAGAGGTTGTGAGAGGGTCGTTCACATTGAGGGTGGACCAAAGTTGAGTAATCTGGGTGAAGGAGGGAAACATAACCAAAGTTTGGTTAACAAACATTTTGCTCTGATTTCTTGAGGATGTGGGGTATGTGTTAATCAACTTTTCACTATTCAGATAATAAATACTTGGGGAGCGATTATTTTGGCTCATATTTTTTTAGAGTTTTTAGTCCAAGATCAGCTGGTTTCATTTCTTGGGGTCTGTGGCAGTGCAACCCATTATAGTAGAAGAAATTGGGAAAATAAAACTATTCATTTTTATGGCTAAAAGAAAAAGAAAAGGAAAGGGACTCAGCTCCCATAATCCCCTTCAAAGGCCCGCATCTCTCACTGGGCTCTGTCTCCTAAGGTTTCCTCTACATCCCAATTACCTCCTGCGGGGAACCAAGCCTTTAACACATGGGCCCTTGAAGGACATGTAAGAGCCAAGGGACAAAACCAAAAGTTCTGGATGCTTGGCAGTAGGGCTGGCTTCCTTGCTCTAAGGCCTCTGTCCTTGGCTGGCAGATAATCACCTTCTTGCTGTCTCTTCCTATGGCTGTCTGACTATAAGCACATTCTAGTGACTCTTCTTTTCATGGGTATATCAGTTACCTAGAATTAGGGCGACCCTAACAAAGAGCTCTAAGCATGATTTCATTGTGAAATACGGGGGATTTTATGAATTTGAGGAGAAATGGTGGTGGAATTTGGATCATCACAAACACATTGGTTATGTCTGGTAGAAATTGCAACTTCTGTTAGTTGCTGCTTTCAGAAGTAACTATGAAGTGCTTTCACTTAGGACAATATATAAAGTTTTATCTCAGAAGTAGTGTCATAGTTGGTGACTTGCGTTTTTATTTCTCATTCTTGTCTCCCAGAGAAGTGACTATCAGTCTTCAGGGGCTCATGGAAAACCCAGAAACTGATGAAAGCTAACTTTAATGAAAGTTAATTTTGCTTTGACAAACCACCTCAAAACCCAGTGGCTTAATATAACAACCCATTTTTCCTCCTAACACATTGTATGCTAGAAAATCAGGCTGGTTCCAGTGGCAACTGCTGATCATAGTGTTGGTGTATGGTCATGTGGTAGCCAATAGCTTCTCACTCTCCTGGTTGGTTGGCCTTGGGTGAGGCCAGTGAAGGTAATTGGGCCAAGTGCTGCTCATCATCTAGCTGGTGGGCCTTTGAGTAGTCACATAGCAGGAGTTCACAGGGATGCCAAGAGCAGGAAGAGAGCAGGCCTCCAAGAGTCTTTGCTTCCATCTCCTCTGCTGATGGCTCATTGACCAAGCATTCATTCAAGGCCCTGAGAAGTTGCAAAGCCATATTGTCTGTGAGATGGGAGGATTTTGGGATCTAGTGAAATAAATGAGGAAATATAAAGATGAGAAAATAAACTAGACAAACCCGATTTGTTAGATTAACTTCAGCTACATGCTATTAGATTGTGTGATTTAGATTATGTGACCATTTCAGGAGAGATGAGCATAGTAGATACTGTCATTTCTCATATTAGTTTTTAGCAAAGGTCCTCTCCCTGCTCTGTGACCTATGAGTAGGTAAGCCATATCCATCAGCTTTCGATAGTAATGCTGCATGATTAACTAGCATAGGATCCCCTTGATATTCCACAATAAGCCTCAATCCTCAGACTGACAAGCTTGAGGATCTGCAGCTAGGTGCTGGTCCAGACTGTGGGTAGAAGCTATCTGGCATCTCATCTTCCCCTGGTAGTGGCCAGAGCTTGTAGAAAGGAAATTGAAGCACTCAGTACTTGTTAGGACTAAAGCTCCAATCTTGGTTATTTGACTCAAACAAGAAAGTTGTCAAAAGTTAGGGCAGGAATGGGTGACAAACACTGTTCCACAAGGGCTCCAGCCAGGGTGAGAAGACCCACAAAGGTCCCAGGCAGGCAGGTCTGCCATGGGGGTGGGGGATGGAGGGTGTGGGGTGTAGGGGGTGCTTGTTTTCTGGAGCAAACATCCCCTTGGACACTGACCAGCAGATAATGCCCGTCTGTTTTAAAACATTCCTTAATGCTCATACCAAATTGCATGGTTGCGCTTCTCAGATCACCTGAGGCTGAGAGATTTCAGATACTTTTTAGTATAGTTGCTTAGCATGGGGATTAAGAGTTTCAAGGGCCTTTAAAAATATCTCCAACAATATCTTGAAAATTGAATTTCTTTCTGTGTCTCCATACCCATTGTCCTCTGTGTGTGTGTGTGTGTGTGTATATATATATATATATATATATATATATGTATATGTAATGTATATATCTAATTTTTTCCAGCCCAGAAGTATTGAAGAGTGAGCCGTATGGGGAGAAGGCAGATGTCTGGGCTGCGGGCTGCATCCTTTATCAGATGGCAACTTTGAGCCCTCCCTTCTGCAGCACCAACATGCTCTCATTAGCCACGAAAGTAAGACTATCAGAGCCTTTGTGACTTTTTTATACACTTGGCAGTTGAAAGTAGATACTGTTTTATTAGTTCCATGATCCAGTTTATTTTTAATAATATATATAAAAACTTACATTACAGACTATGGTATATTTCCATACCTGTACTCGCTTACAATAAAAATTATAAAAATAACTGTACCGAATGATTCCCCTCCTCTTACTTTAAAAAAAAAACTTACTGAGGATCAAACTAAGGTATTATATATGTGAGGCAAACATTTTACCATTGTTACACTCAATGCTAGAAAATACTTTACCATGGAGTTACAATCCATACTTTCCTACTTTTTGTCTCGTGTGAGTGTGTGTGTGTGTGTGTGTGCGCGCGCGCCAAGTTTTGAACTCAGCACCTTATGCTCTTGCTCAGCATTTTTTCTCGTGGCTAGTGCACTACTACTTGAACCAGTTTGGCATTTTGCCAGTTAATTAGAGTTGTAGTTTCCAGGAGTTTTATATCTGGGCTGGCTTTGAGCCACAATTCTCAGATCTCAGCTTGAGTAGCAAGGATTACAGTTATAAAGCCACTACCATGCAACAAATTGTACCTTTTTCATCCTTGCTTTCTTTTTTTTTTGGTTCTTTTTTTTTTTGCAGTACTGAGGTTTAAGCTGAAGCACTCTATTACTATGCCTCCAGCCCTGGTCTCTTATTTTTAATTGCATTTTTGGACTGCCCATACTCTAGTATTATGTTATCCTATGCACTGTTTAATCATGAACCTTAGGTCAACTTTAACTCAGTTTAGAGACTATAATTGTATTAGGGAATGTAATTCTATTTCACAAATAGTTTAATTAGTGTTAGTTTTATTTTGTTGAGAGGCTTTTATTTCCTTTTTATTTATTTTTATTTTTGTCCATGATGGGGCTTGAACTCAGGGCCTGGGTGGTATCCTCGAGCTTCTCTGCTCAAGACTAGCACGCTACCACTTGAACCATAGCTCCACTTCAGGTTTTCTGGTGGTTTATTAGAGATAAGAGGCTCATGGACTTTCCTGCCTGTGCTGGCTTTGAACCACGACCCTCAGATCCCAGCTTCCTAAGCAGCTAAGATTATAGGTGTGAGCCATGAGCCACCAGTGCCAAGCCCTTTTTATTTTTTATTTTTTGTTTCTATCCTGGGGCTTGAACTCAGGTCTAGGCACTGTCTTTGAGCTTTTCTTTTTCAAAGATAGTTCTCTACCATTTGAGTCATAGTTTCACATCCTGTTTTTTGGGGGTTAATTGGAGATGAGTCTCAAGGACTTTCTTGCCCAGGCTGACTTCAAACAGGGATCCTCAGATCTCAGCCTCTTGAGTAGTTAGGATTATAGGAGTGAGCTACTGGCACCCAGTTATTTCCTTTATTTTTTATTTTTACTTAGATTTTTGTGTTAGCAATGGGGCTCGAACTCAGGGCCCTCTCTCAGCTTGCTCACTATAGCTAATAATTTACCACCTGAGTCGTGCCTCCAGTCTAGCATGATGCTTTTATTTCTGATTACAACTTATGCATAGCGTTGTCTTGTTTTATTAGCCATTTCATGTTGTAGCCAAGTGTTACTATTCAGACATACCTGGCCCCTTACTGCAATCACTGTAATCTGTTTATTTTACAGATAGTGGAGGCTGTGTATGAACCAGTGCCAGAAGGCATCTACTCTGAAAAAGTGAGGGATACCATCAGCAGGTAATGAGTCTCCCACCTCTCCAAAGTAGGGATCATGAAGAAATACCAATAGTCGCTTATCAGTAGTCACTCCCTGTGTATAAGGAGTCATGCAGGGGGCAGGCCCCTGAATGATCCAGACCTGGAAAGACTTGTGTGTGTCATCCGTCACAGTGGTCTTTTGGAGGCCACTGTGTTGTCCAAGAGGAAGTCGTGCATGCACTTGAAGTATTACATAGCTACTAGTGAGATTATTCAGAAGGCTTCATATCAAAACCATGTGAAGCTAAGTAAACAGGATGTGTTCCTGTGACTCTCTTAAAACCCATACCAATATGCACACATAGGGAAAAAGAAAAAATACATGAAACTGAACAAGGCCATGTTACATGATACGATTGTTCTTTCTTATATTTGTTTTTGCTTACTTAGGGTGCTGGGGAATTGAACCCAGGACCCTATACACACTACGCAGAGTGTGTATAGAGATCTGCCCCTAGCTCTTTATCGCTACTTTTGTGTTTTATTGTAAGTTTTCAAAGAGAGTCAGAAGCTTTACTCATTAATGCAGTAGGAACTTAATGACGGTCACTGTCCACTTGTACTCCCCTAAGTTCGGACCAGACTCTTACCCAACAGGCTTCCTTGTTCATGTGTCACCCAGTCTCCTCTGTACTCTCTCCCATTGCCTGCTCTCTAGCCTTCTACCTTCCCTTTGTTCTTCTTTCCCCTGAAATTCTCTTTCCTAAGATGCATGCATGATGCAAGCCCTCCCTTGGGTCTCTGCTGAACTGTGACTTTGCCAGGGAGCCCATGCTTGGCAGCCTCATGTTCTTCCTCGTTCTGTGCTTCCCTGGCCCACTGTGTACAACGGATAGAACCCTCTGACCTTGATATACACATCTGTACACTTCCTTGTTTGCTGACTGAGCCCTCTCCACCAGAACGTAACCTCAATCACAAATGATGAGTCCCTTTGGTTCTTAACCTGTTCAATGCCTAGAACGGGGCATGGCACAGGGCAGACCCTTCCTCCATACTGGCTGACCACTAGTTATGGACGCTAGTTATGGACCAGCATTATTTGTCCCCTTAACTGAGCTTGAATCAGGTCCCCATTAATTTAGATCGTAGAAGTCCTCATGTCACCCCCGATGGGAATTGTGTTCTTCTCCATTCCCACGTCTCTTAAGCCTTGGTTTGGTATTTGTTCTACTCTTGCCTCCTCTCCAGGGCCTGTCACTGGCACACGCGGCTTTGCCTGTCCCCTCTGCGCTTTCCTTTCTCTGCCCATCCCACTGTTTTGTACTAGTGGTTACTCCTCGCCTGTTTGTAGAATTCTTTCTTGGACTTTTCTTGTCTGTATAATACTGATCTAGTCTGGTAAGCAGACTCAGGCTCTGGAGCCAGGTCTAGCCTGGCTGAAGGTACTAGACAGGGAATTACGTCTCTGTTTTTATGTCCTCATCCAGTGAAATGGGGAGTATTACACAAAAAGTGGCCTAAACAAACCACTTTGCACTGGGCTTGGTAAATGTGTGAGCCATTGGTAGCTGTGGTTATTAATATTGCTGGGAAAGAACCGAAAGCTCTCTGCACCATTTGAGCCCCATGCATCTTGAACTACGCTCTGTTGCTGGTGGATCCAAACGGGGAATTTAAATTACTCATCTCTAGATGATTATGGTTTGGGGCCAGCCCAGGCTAAATGGCTAGTGAGACCTTATCTCAGAACAATATAGGTATGATGGTACATGCCTGTGATCCCAGCTATGTGGGGGTGGAAGTAGGAAGGTAGGAGGGTCATGATCTAAGGCTGGCACTTAAATAAAGCATGTGACCCTCTCTGCAAAATGAACAAAATGCTAAATGGCTAGAGGCATGGCTCTCTGAGCCTACCTAGCAAGCTTGAAGCCCTGAGTTCAAATCCCAGTACTACAAAAAAAGAAAAAGAAAAATAGAAAGTGCTCATCTCCACGATCTGTTTCTGTCCTCTGGTATTTGTTCTTGGGAAACTACCTTAAGAATTAAAGAAGTCTTCAGAGATGTCATGAGAAAAGTCTGTATTTGCTCACTTCCTTTCTCCTTTCTTAGGTACCGAGTGCCATAAAGAACAGGAAAAGGGGGAGGGGCGGCAGAGAGACATGTTTCTGCTTTTGTGAAGCTGAGCAGCAGGACCACATAACTCCCTCTGGACAGTTCTTCAGCGGGCAGTGGACGCACTGCTCTGCTCTGGGCTAATAGACTAGTGGAGGCATCTGATAGCAACATTACAATGTAAAGGCTTAGAGCCTTGCTGCATTCTGAAATTGACTGGCCTCTACTCCCTCTTCTCCCATTCAGTTTAGCTTTCCAAAGACCCAGTTTCTTCATCAGTGATATGGGGGCAACAGCAGTAATTACCTCATGGGCTGGCTTCAGAGCTTAAGTAAGACAATACACACAGCATCATCATGTCCTCCACAGAATTAAATGTTATGAGCAATAGTGATGTTATTACTATCCTGTGATAACTATATTGTAATGATGACATAATATCACATGGAAACTTGTCAAACTTATATACGGAGGTGACTCAGTACTTCACATATTGAGGCTGAAGATGATCAGCAGACTCCTGCTGGCTGTGCTATGGGCAACAAGAGTGGGGGGAAGAAGAGAAATCTCTATCCACTGAGTGTTGGTGGCCATTTTGATGGCATGGTGTCCATTTTGGTGGTGTGCTAGTGTGGAGGGCAGACAGAAGTAGTATTCTTTCCACTGTGTGTTGGAAGGTGTCATCACTTTTGTGGCTATAATCCCAAGAGGATTCAAAAAATCCAGGCGTTGGTGGCTCACGCCTGTAATCCTAGCTACTCAGGAGGCTGAGATCTGAGGATCGTGGTTCAAAGCCAGCCCTGGCAGGAAAGTCAATGAGACTCTTATCTCCAATAAACCACCAGAAAAATGGAAGTGGCACTGTGGCTCAAGTGAGCCTTGAGCTGAAGAGCTCAGGGACAGCGCTCAAGCCCAGAGTTCAAGCCCCACGACTAGAAAAAAAAAATCCTTCAGTTGATTGGAAGAGTGGGATGATATTGGAAATATGAAAAAATCGAATTTATTCAGCTGTGGCTTCAGAGAATAAAAGTCGAGAGAAAGAAAAGAGTGAAAGTTAGCAGCAAGGTTAAGGTCAAGCTGTGTCTATTCTATGGAGGAGTTGAGGGTGGGCAGCCTGGCACACACTCCATGGTGCAGAGGAGAAAATCACTCATGGGGCATTCCAGACAGCATGTTCTTGAAGGTACTTTCAACTTAAGAGTACATTCATAACCAGATAGAACTGACAATGGAATTTTATAGCTAGCCATAAATTAAGGTTGCAGGGTGCGTTCTGGAACAGATGTTATTTTCATCTGAAGTTATTCAAGACTTCTTGTCTGGATTTGCATTACTGAGTTTTCTCTTCAGAAAATTTGGACACAAAACCAAAATGAACTATGAGTTACATGAAATTGCATACTTAATTAGTTTTGGATTTTTAGTATTTAAAAATTAGCTTCCAAAAGAATTTAACAATTTCAAATTTTCCATACTCTTATAGTCTTATATTTTTGTTCAAGAAATATAGGCCAGTGACAAATTAAAAGCACAAAAGCCTTCTTAATAATCAGAGCAGTTAGTAATTGGATAGTTTTTTAAATATAAGACAACCTAAAGGGGTTAAAGTTTATTGTAATCTCTTTCCTTCCTTCCTTCCTTCCTTCTTTCGTTCCTTCCTTCCTTCCTTCCTTCCTTCCTTCCTTCCTTCCTTCCTTCCTTCCTTCCTTCTTTCGTTCCTTCCTTCCTTCCTTCCTTCCTTCCTCCCTCCCTCCCTCCCTCCCTTCCTCCTTCCCTCCTTCCCTCCTTCCTTCCTTCCTTCCTTCCTTTCTTTCTTCCTTCCTTCCTTCCTGCCTTCCTTCCTTTAGCTGTAGTGGATTGTCTAACATGTTTTTTTACTTGAATACTTCCCTCACTTTACTTTGACACTGTGTGTTTATGTCTTATTTTCGAACAAGTTGACTCCCTCCCTCCCTCCCTCCCTCTCTCCCTCCCTTCTTCCTTCCTTCCTTCCTCCCTTCCTCCCTTTCTCCCTCTCCCTATTTTCCCTTCTTCCCTCTCCTTTCCCTCCCTCCTTCCTCTTTCTCTCTCCCTACCTGCCTCCTTCCCCACTGTCTTTCTTTGACAGCCACCCCCCACCCCTCTGTTTCTTTGATAGGATCTTGTTCTGTGCCCAGGCTGCCCTCAAACTCCTGCCTTTTCTGCCCCAGCCTCCTAAAAGCAGAGATTTTAGGCATGTATCACTACATCAAGCCCTTGTAATCCTTCTTAAACTGTGTATTGTTTCTAGTTACATATATCTTCTTTCTTCCACTTTACAATCAATCCCCTCTGTTTCTCTTTCTATGTTCTTGTCAGGCAGAGCTCACAGTTTGTACTTCTAATGTGCAGAACCTTACTTTTTTTTCCTGTGTATGTGGTATATAAGCACATTTTGTTAATGAAACATTGCTTTCTTAGCAAGCTTTTAAATTGTGAAAAATTTTGCATCCTTGAAGAGTTGAAAAATAAATATATCTTGTTTCTCTGCCTGGTATCAGCATTGCTATTTTTATCTTTCAGTATATTGGAACAGTGTACTTTACAGTACACTGTTAAGATGGTATTGTCTGTTTTGTTTTATGCACAAATTATTCCAATTGCCTGATTTTTCTCTCCGGACGTGGTTACATAAACTGTCTAGCACTGGAGCTGACAGCAGCAGTGAGCTCTAAGGACAAGTGGATTTTCACATTTCTACCCCACCTTCAACCTTTGGTTTCATTAAACATAAAATGACTCTCACAACCACTTTTTTCCCCCTCTAATATCTTCTGTTTGCTCTTGCAGAGCAGCATGGGGACAAGGTGTCACATTTATTCTAGAATGACATTTTATGCTTATTTGACTACAGAATTGGTGATGCACATTACATGCTAAGAGGTTCTATCAGCATTTCTTGTGTATTATGATGGCTTCAGTTCCTCTTAAGAGTTTCTCTGGGATACCCAAATGGGTAGTCATTTAGAGCAATGAGGCTAAACTGCAGCTTTTGGTAGAAGGCGTTCCTGTGAAGCTCAAAGTCTGTGGCCAAGTTTTGTTGTTTTTGTTTTTATTGTTATGGATAGACATACTCTTTGGTTTTTAGTCTGGGTTCAAGCATGTAATCTTAGCCTGAGCCAAAAAAAAAAAACACACACACAAAAAGAAAGAAAAGAAAGAAAGGAAAAGAAAGACAAAATGTTGAGACCCCATCTCAGCCAGTGGCTAGTACGGTGGCATGCAGCTCTCATTCCAGGGTCAAGGGGAATCACACATAGGGGGAGTGCAGTCCAGAACTTCAAGGCTTAAAATGCCCGGTACTACCTTAAAAATAACCAACACAGACAGGGGCTAGAAGAGCAGCACAAGTGGTAGAGCATTTTCCTAGCAAGTGCAAAGTCCTGAGTTCAAAACCCTAGTACTGACTCTCCCCCCAAAAAACACTGTAGTAGTTAAAATAGTTTTGGGTAGTTAAATAGAGCAGTGAACAGAGAACATATAAGACATGGACAGTAAGTGTGTGTGAGAATAGTCTAAAACATCTTTCTAGTGGGGACTTAGAAGATGGAGTTTCGGCAAGTGGATAAAAAGATTATAAGAAAAGGAAAGGGCTGGGCACTGTGGCTCATGCCTGTAATTCTAGCTACTCAGGAGGCTGAGATCTGAGGATCACATGTCAAAACCAGCCTGGGCAGGAAATGCTGTGAAACTCTTATCTCCAATTCACCATCAGAAAACTGGAAATGGTGCTGTGGCTCAAAGTAGTAGAGCACTAGCCTTGAGTGAAAGAAGCTCAGGGACAGTGCCCAGGCTGTGAGTTCAAGCACCACCACCACCATCACCACCACTATCACCACCACCACCACCACCAACAACAACAAAAGGGAAAGGGCAGGATATCATAAGAAAAAAATCAACCAAATGGACAAAAAAATTAAACAAATGAGGACCATAGGAGAGTCCTGGGCTATTCAGGAAGGTGCATTACTGTGCTGTTAGGGTTAGGAGAGCAGAGGAGGTGAGGAGTAATTTAACAAGAACCTTCTATGGCATTCTGGGAATTTTAGTTTTGTCCAGTTGTCCATAAGAAAGTATAGAAGATCTTCATCTTGAGCAAAGAAGTGATGCTGTCCAACTTAAAAATATTACTTTAGTAGCAGTCTCCTACCTAACTTTGTACATAATAAATGCATAGAATGAAGATCGTTAAACACGAGATCATGCTAACCAAAAGGCAAGTCCATTGCCTTTGAATAAAAAGAAAACGCAAAAAACATAGAGCATAAAATGACAATGCTGAATGCCCAGCTTAAACTTGTGTATATTCTACTCATGTTTAATAAATTCAGTAAGAAATTTCCAAATTACCACTTGGAATTTTATTTTGACTTCTGTTATAAAAGAACAATCATAGACTAATGGAGTCATCTGTGCATGGGAAATCTGCATGGATTGCTTGCTAGATCATATATAAGATGTGAAAATTAGGTATTTTCCTCAAAATCCCAACAAATTAAATTCTAATGAGAAGCACACATGATTTCAGCCAGTCTAGAGAATTTGAAGTTAAACACAAGCAAGGTCCTCTAGTAGATGCCAGAAATAATGCAATGAGCTGCTAATGGGCTTTGCAAGCAGAAGAAGCTTCTAGATATGCCAGGCTAAGCAATGCTCCTACCTTCAGTGCACTGATTGCTATTTTCTACCTCCAACGTCACTGTAAATGTTAGCATGCAATGTGTCAAATTAGTTCTATTGGTAAAGAAAAGTCAAACTAGAGGCCATGGTTTTCTATATTTCCTTGTATGTACAAATTATGGATAACCATGCATCTAAAATTTCAGTCATCCTGATTTTCCTAAAAATCTATATCTTGTCAGAAACAAAAAATATATACAGAAACTTTACATTCTTTTCTCTTTTTTTTTGTCAGTCGTGGGGCTTGAACTCTGGCCCTGGGCACTGTCCCTGTGCTCTTCAGCTCAAGGCTAGTGCTCTACCGCTTGAGCCACAGTGCCACTTCTGGTTTTCTAGGGGTTTATTGGAGATGAGTCTCATGGACTTTCTTGCCCGGGCTGGCTTTGAACCGTGATCCTCAGATCTCAGCCTCCTGAATAGCTAGGATTACAGGCGTGAGCCACCAGTGCCCGGCAAACTTTACATTCTTATCTGCAGGATTCAGTGGGATTCAGTGAACCATCTTGTATTCAGATCATGGTGAACAGTTACACTTGCCTTTTAAAGAGGGATACTGTCAGGCACAAATGGCTCACACCTGTAATCCTAGCTGTCTATGCAGGATTCTGGCTCCTTTGCTTTCTTATCTCCGGTTCCTGCTGATAGACATACCACGGGGACCCACAGCAGCATTTCGCAGTGACCCCTCCCACCCTAGCCCATCCCAGCACTGGCCAGTGTTACAACGAGCTGCTTTTCTCCCAGGTGCCTCACTCCTGATGCGGATGCCCGCCCTGACATTGTAGAAGTCTGTTCCATGATATCTGATGTCATGATGAAGTACTTAGACAACTTGTCTACATCTCAGCTGGCCTTGGAGAAGAAACTGGAGCGGGAGCGCAAGCGCACACAGAGATATTTTATGGAAGCCAACAGGAACGCCGTCACCTGCCATCATGAGCTCGCTCTGCTGTCTCAGGTAGGTGCAAATCTGTCTCCAGCATGCCTTCTACTAAGCCAGCTGAAGCTCTTCATGTTGTTTGATAAAAAGCTCACCTGAAGTTAGGAAAAAGATTCACTACCGTGAAGTAGTTTACTATTATATAGTTATATATTTACATCCTTATTTTTTCCTTTGTGGTACCAGAGTTTGAATTACTTGCTTGGCTTGTTTGCTCAGCTGGTGCTCTACCACTTGAGCCACACCTCTAGTTGGGCTTTTTTTTTCCTGGTTATTTTGGAAATGGAGGCTTCAGGACCTCTCTGCTTGGGTTTGCTTTGAACCACCATTCTCCAGACATTAGCCTTTTGAATAAGCTAGGATTAAAGGCATGAGTCATTGGCATATTCATTTTTATATCTACAAATAAAAGCAACTCAGTATAACTGATTTTTTCCAAAGAATGAATCCATAATTTATTGTGTATTGTAAAGCCAGCAGTGTCAGAAAGTTCTCTTGGCAATTCTTCTGGTTTAAATTACAGCATATAAACAAATGGATAAAGAGCAGTACTTACACCTGGTGTGTACATGGGCATGTGTGGGTTCCGGTGATGCTCTTGTTACTCTGCCTTTGTGATAATTGCCAACCACCAGCCACCTTCTTCTCCTGTGCAGGACAGCCCCAGCCACAACCCAGCAAGCGGCTCTTCTGCCTACTAACTATTCTTTTCTTCTGATTGGAGGGTGGCATTCAAGGGAATGGTATAAAGCACATTCGTGGTTAGGAAACCTGCTCATGAAATCCCTTCTCAGCATCCTAAGGTCCTTGCACAATCGGGAAAGTTATGTAAATAGTTGGTATAATTTTATTCTTCTTTATGACTGAATCATACTCCATTGTGCACACGTACATGCATGTGCATGTGCATGTATATGGATGTGTATCTGTGTGTATGTATATACACATACTTCTTTATCCATTCACTGATGGACACCAAGGCTGCTTCTTGTAAATAGTACTGGGTATGCAGATCTCTCTGACTGTATTTTAACCTACATGCCTTTAGATATAGAATCAGGAGAAGAATAAGAGGATTATATGGTAGTTTTATGTTTAATCTACTTTTTTTGAGAGGGGGGACTTGGGAATTGAACTCAAAGCTTCACACTGTCAGACAGACACTCATCACTGAACTATGACTCCGTCTCTGGTTTTTTAGCTGGTTATTTTTTATATAGGATTTCTCTTCCTATTTGGGTTATACTCCTGAGTCTGGACCCATCTATTTGAAGTCTCTTGTCTTGGTTGGGAGATAGACATGTGCCATCACATCCACTGAAATAGAGTATCTTGGACCTTTTTTTCCTGGGCTGGTCTGGAACCTTGATCCTTCCAATCTCTCAAATAAGTGTGAAACATTAGCACCTGGCTTATGTTTAGTTTTTTTTTTTTTTTTTCTCCTTCAGTCATGGGGCCTGAACTCTGGGCCTGGGCGCTGTCCCTCAGCTCTTCAGCTCAAGGCTAGTGCTCTACCACTTGAGCCACAGCACCACTTTTGTTTTTTTCTGCTTATGTGGTGCTGAGGAATCGAACCCAGGGCCTCATGCATGCAAGGCAAGCGCTCTACCACTGAACCACCTTCCCAGCCCTTATGTTTAGTTTTTAAAGGAATATCCATATTTATTTTTGTAGTGCCTGCACTAATTTACATTCCCACCAGTAGAAGATTAGGGTTCCTTTCCCCCCACATGTTTTCCAGCATTTGTTGTTGCTTGTTTATTGATGGTAGCCGTGCAGCCATTCCATCAGTTCAATGGAATCTCACTGATGTTTTGATTTGCATTTTTTTGGGGTTAGTTTTGAGGCTTGAACTCTGAGTCTGGGTGCTGTCCCTCAGCTCTTCAGCTCAAGGTGAGTGCTCTACCATTTGAGCCATAATGCCACTTCCAGTTTTCTAGTGGAGATAAGAGTCTCATGGACTTTCCTGCTTGGGTTGGCTTTGAACTGCGAACCTCAGATATCAGCCTCCTGAGTAGCTAGGATTACAGAGTAAGTCACCAGTGCTGGGCTTGATTTGCATTTTTATGGCTAAGGATACTGAAAATTTCTTCATGTGTTGATTAGCCATTCATATTACTACTTTTGAAAGCTATTTTAAAAATTAATTTTTTCATTTACTAGTTGGACTGATATTTCTTTCAGTCTTTACTTTTTGGAGTTCTTTATATCTTCTGGATAGTAATCTTTTATCTTGATTAGTAACTGGCAAGTATATTTTTCTTATTCTGTAGGTTTCCTCTGCATTCTGGTAATTGTTTCCTTTGCTATACAGACCTTTTCAGTTCGGTGTAATATCATTTTTTTCAATTCTTGTTCTTTTTTGAGCAATTGGAGTTGCATTTAGAAAAGCACTACCTATATCAACTTATATCTTCAAGACTTTTTGCTGTCCCTTCCTCTTGCACTCTCCTAGTTTCTGGTCTTACATTAAGATCTTTGATCCATTTGTAATTGATTTTTGTAAAGGGGGCATAAATAGTGGTTTCAGTCTTCTTCATGTATATATCTTAATTTTCCCAACACCGGTTGTTGAAGAGTATGTCTTTTCTCTAACATAAATTTTTTGACACCTTTGTCAAAAATCAGATAGCTATAGCTGTGTGGGTTTGTTTCTAAGCTTTTCTATTTCACTGATCTGTATGTCTCTCTCTTTTCTGTGTCAGTACCCTACCGTTTGTGTTACTATGGTTCTGCAGTATAATTTGAAGTCAGATATTGTGATACCTCTAACGGTGCTCTTTTCCAGTATATTGTTTGCAGGAAAATGGATAGAACTAGGGATCACCTTTTAAGGAAAGTAAACTGATAGGGAAAGACAAGCATCACATGTTCTATCTCTTTTATGTGCAATCTAGTCCTTAAAAATGAATGACAGAAATGTAAAACAGGTTGTCAGGGTGGGGGTGGGGTTGAGTACCAGCGGGAGAAGGGGAAAATGGAGGCAGTATGGGAGTGAATATGGTAGAGGTCAAATACAGGATACACATATAGGAAAATAGAACAGTGAAACCTGAGAAAATTGTTTCAAGAAGTGGGGAGGGGGAGGGATGAGGAGTCGGAGAAGGACTCAACTTGATCAGGGCACACTGTACGCATCTATGAAGATATCACAGTGAAAACCTTTTGTACAACTAATACACACTCATATATGCTAGCTGATATAGGCTAATAAAAAAGAAAAAAACATCAGACATTTCTGATTTCTCGAATGCCAGAATGTCCAATGAACTTTCCAAAAAGGAGAGATGCACTGCTATTCAGTGGGTCTGCCTGGAGAATACTTGAAATCCAGAAGCTGGAGATTTAGAGTTTTCTTTAAAGGGAAACTTGTCTTCATTGCTTTACATGCCGAGCCCTAATGTAATTGCAAAAACAATCCATGATGGTTTTCTTCTTCTTTTTTTTTTTAAAGTTAACTTACTTTATCGTTAGTATAGAAGTGGTAAGCAAGGGGATTACAATTACATGAATCAGGCAATGAGTACATTTTCTTCAAAAGCACAGTGTCATCTATTCCCTTATTCCCTCCCAGTCTTTCTCTCCTGTCTCCAACCACAAGTTGTATGGTTCATTTTACATCAATGTCCAGTGAACTCCACTATTACTCTTGAGTTCTGTGCCCTCTTCCACCCTTCCAAAGATAAACCCGTGAATACACCATATAGAAGGTAGAAGATAGAATCATCAAAAACTAAAAACTTAAAAAAAGTCTTTTGTTTCTATATCCTGGAGTTTGTTTCAGTATGTATATTGTTTTATATAAATACGAAGAGGCACTTAGCCATTGCACCTTTGTGATTCTCTCCTGAGAGTATCCTCTTTTTTTTTTTTTTTTTTTACTGTATGTGAGTATCTAGAATCCTGTATAACGTGTCATGTCTCAGTGCATTTGAGATCTAACTCTTGCATATCAGAGAGAACATGTGTTGTTTGTCTCTCTGAGTTTGCCTTACCTCACTTAACATGATTTGTTTTAGTTCCACCCATTTCCTTGCAAATGACATAATTTTATTCTTTCTAATGGATCGTGAACTTCCATGTGTATAGGTACCACAGTTTTTGGATCCACTCATCTATTGTGGGGCATCTGGGCTGTCTCCATAACTTGGCTATTGTGAATAGTGCAGCAATGAACATGGAGGTGCAGGTGTCCTTAGCATATCGTGGCTTATGGTGCTCAGGGTAGATGCCTAAGAGTGGTATGGCTGGGTCATTGGGAAGGTCTATGCTTACTTTTTTGAGGAAATTCCAGATTGCTGTCCAGAGTGGTTGTACTAGTTTACATTCCCACCGGTGGTGCCGTAGGGTTCCTTTTCCCCCACACCGTGATGGTTTTCTAAGGCCTTGGTTTACATTGAAAAGCACAGAACTTGGAGTTACAGCTTTCACCGAGCACCATTACATTACATCAAGCTCACTTTCTGTGCTATTTTACTGCCTGATTCCTTAAACCCAGGCAGCTTTAGGAAGAATCCTTCCTTGTATGCCATGTTCCTTTCCGAGTACGGTATTCTTTGCAGAGGAAAACGCAAGAGATTTAACTGTTTCTGTATCTCTTATGTATTCAGAGCCTTGCCTTAAGCTCTGTGCCACAAAGCTCCTTAGCCAATTTCCAGCTGGATGTGAGTCATTATCTGACGCAGGGGCGGAGCTGGCCTAAAACCCAACCACAGGAATCCTCTTATCTCTAGCGAAGCACCTTGAGAAAAATCAGTTTGTACATTTAATTTTATTCCTCAGCTTAAAAAAAAAATTCCATTATGGAAAATTTCTAACAAAGTGTGCTTCCTGTGCCCACCCCAAATTTCAACAATGGATTGGCTATTTTGAGCTAATTGTGTGTCCTTCCCACTTTCATACACCTTCTTACACTCCCTGCCTTTTCATTTTTCATATGATGTGTGTGTGTGTGTGTGTGTGTGTGTGTGTGAGTGTTAAAGTATTAGCCCTCGAGCTCTCAGCTGGCTTACTTGTTC